GTACCAACAACGCCACTGACAACCACTTCCAACACCAATCACTTGCATATTCCCTATTTTATAGGTCACAAATGCCAAACATCTCCAATAGAAACGCACCCACAGCCCACTCCTCCGCCTCCACCACCACCTCCACCTCTGCCACCGCCACAACCACCTCCACTCCGCCACTACTGAAAATCACATCAGCATGAAAACCACCCCGTCGCTCTAAAAATCTTCGAGCAACAGCAAAGTGCGCACACACCTCATCTACGACATCCACTGCATCTAAGACCTCCACCGCACACACATCATCGAAAACCTCCACCCCAGATCATCGAAGATCTCCACCCCACATCACTAAATCGAAGACCATCGCACACACACAACACAACACAACACCGCACCGCACACCCACAACACCTCTATCGCACACCCACAGCAGTGGACGTTCAACTGTGGTGAACAGCAACGGTTGTAGTGGACGGAGGCATCGGAAAACAGCTGAAGGGAGAGGATGTTCCACCTGAATGCTTATGGTTGGCGATTTCGACAGCGTCGCCGTTCACAACAACGTCACGACGCTACCGTTCCGGGAACGACGGTATCGGACGGTGCGTCTGGACAATTCTGAGAGACGGAGAGAGAGACGAGGGGATAGAGGGTGAGGAGAGAGAGACAAGGGGTGATGAATTAATAAATTAGGGTTTTAAAAGATTAATTGTTTAATTAAAATGATAAAAACCTGAAAAATGAAAAATGAAAAATTAAAGCCCAAACCTGCTCTTTAAAAAGGTCAAACTAAAGACCTGATTTTATGTAATTTCCACTTTTTTAATGTCTATATTGCCTAAGTCCAACTTTATAATTCAAATTTCAAAAAATTGAAAATAAATGACCTAAACTTTTCTCAATCATTCTATCATTTCTCATAATCGAAGTTAAGCGACTGCGCATCTCTTCATCTTACTATTTTTCCGTTCTACCCATTGAATTTCATCAACTTTGATTGAGATAGGTTTTATTCCGTTCCTTTTTAATAATTGTTCATACTTCAATATATAAATATTATAATTTATAACTAGCATTCAAGATGTTTATTGTAAGCTCGTGCATTTGTGTGTTTTCTTCTCTCTCAGAAGCTACTTTCCTTTCAAATAATTTATCACGCTTTAATATATAAACACTATTATTTATAACTAGTGTTCAAGATATTTATTGTTATTTGTATATTTTTAAGTTTTATTACATTATTTTGTTAGAGTTAAGTAGTGTTGTCGTAAGAGTTATTAGTTGGATTAATGTAGTATTGTTGTAAATATTAAAAAAAATTCAATTATAATATGGAATCGAATGGAATTGAATTGGTACGGTTCAAGAATTAAATTTAGATACATCAGTTTTATTTATTAAATACTCAAAAAATTTGGTTCGATTCGATTCTCTTTAGAGTCGAATCAAATCGGACCATGTCTAACTTTAGTTACATTTTGAGGAACTATTGTTATTTTAGAGGGAATTTGCATTTTTCTCAACATTTGCAAAATATAACAATCTATCCTCAACTTTTTTTTTAACACAATACATTCTAACGTTTCAATCATGCAATTTTTTTAACATAATACATTCTAACGTTTCAATCATGCCAAAAAAAAAAAAAGTCACTTATTAATAGAACGTTTCGATTTGCTATATAAGAATAT